GCCCGCGACAAGGTCCGGGCGGTCCAGGATCTGGGTTTAGGATTTCAGGGTTGGAGTGGTGCGGGGGGCGCCTGGGGAGTGACCCTTGGGAGGATGCGAGTGGTGCTGAGCTCGTCATTTTCCGACGTTTTGGTTTTGGAGATTGCCCCGGATTCCCCTCCACATTAGGTCAAGACTTGTTTTTTGTTTTTTTCTCTGGAGCAGGTACCAGCTATTTGCAACAGTTTTTAGCCCTCTGCTCTCCGCTTTTCTGCGGCACCGCTCAATGAAACATCTTTTAAATGTTCAGATTAGCACCATTAAGTGACTAATCAACAGTCCCTACTTTCAATTGCCCTTTATACTTTTGTAGGATCTTTGGCCTTTGAGGGCCCCACAGCATCATAAAGTAGATTAAGGGGGAATTATTCCAATTTTAGTGGACAAAATCTAAATTCAGTGAGATGCGAGGGTAACCGTGGATGAAAGCCTCCTTGGCGCTTCCTTAATACCGGGAGCTTAATTAACTGCCTTTGTAACTCCTGCTACAGATCCCAGGGGTTTGTGCACCTCCTTGTCTCCCTGGCTAGACTGTCAGTTCTCCGAGGGCAGGGCCTGCTCTTCCCTTCAGCACACAGGGTACTTAAGTGCTCAGTAAACACCGACTGAGTAGTGGAACCAGCACCAGGATGCAGGCTTTGTGTCTCCTACTCTAAGGGCCTCAAGTTGTCCACAGCCTTCACTGTTGAGCAGCATCATATTGGGACATTTCTAATTCAGCCACTGAAGTTATTTTGTTTGTAGAAGAGAGAGAGTCCACTTAATTATAGCCTTCAGTAAATGAAAAGCTTTTATAACAGACGGCAAGCTGACGGTGTTAGATTTAGGACCCAGGAAAAAGGAAAATGTAGGTTTCCCAGGCATGGCTGCTTGGGTTTCGCCTGGAATCACCCTGGGTTTGTTCTGGGTGAGTTTGTGTTGGAAAATTTCAGCATTATATGGTTAAGTCCACACAAGTGGGCTGCATGGTTCTGACTGGGAGTTCTGTGCCCACCTCCCCCATAAATGAGGGCCTCTCCTCTCCCCACCTTGTCCCTACAAATCCCCTCTAACCCCTAGTTGGCCAATCTCCTGATTGATCCTATATCGCAGCCTGCATGCTTAATAAATGTTTATTTTATAGTTGAATGAATAATAGAAATGGAAATATTGGGGTTTATCAGGCCCAAGGAATGGGGCTTAACCTGAAGCATAGTTGTAATTTAAGAATTTCCTGACTATTAAACTTGGTAATGAACTATGAGCAGAAGTGGAATTTTGTTCTCAGGAGGCTTTTTACCAGGCTTGAGTTGTTTAGTTGTGGCCCTGCCTAGAGGCATGGGTTTGACTTTAGTAGATCATTTGAGAAAATCCCTTTCTTAAGAGACCTGTGATTGTTATGACTCTGTATCCAAAGTGATCATGCAGGTAAGTCTGTCATGATTTATTTAACAATTAAAAATCCATTTTAAAAAAAGCTTGCAGTATAGTGGTTAAGCACAGATATTCCACAGTCAGTCTGCTGGGATTTAAATCCACCCCCTCCCCCAGCTTCTTATTAGCTGTGAAATCTTGGGAAAATCATTTAATCTGTTTGTGCCTCAGTTTCTTCATATGTAAAATGGGGGTAATAATAGTATGAACCTGTTGTTAGGATTAAATGACTGGTTAAGAAAAGCACATACAATGTTTGGCACATTTTAAAGGTTTATTGTGTTAGTTGTTGCTGTTTTATTTTTTTAAATTAAAAAAAAAATATTTTTTTATTGGTTTCAGAGAGTGAAAGGGAGAGGGAGGAAGAGAGAGACAGAAACATCAATGATGAGAGAGTCATTGATCAGCTGCCACCTGCATGCCCCCTGCTGGGGATTGAGCCCAAAACCCTAAACCCAGGCATGTTGATTCCCTGATTGGGAATCAACAACGGCTGAGCCACACCAGTCACACAGCTGTTGCTGTTTTAAATTGCAAATTCCCTTAATGTGTTCTTACCTGTTTGTGGATTCAGATTATTAATGTAACAGAAGGTGAAAGGTAAACTCAAAGTTATGTGATATTGAGTGATAACCAAATGAAATGATACCTCAAGATATTTATAATACAGATTTCATAAAGCGTTATTGAGTGCTGTCCATGTACCAGGCCCTATGCCTTTCTCATTTGATATAATTTTCACATCAGCCCTTTGAGTTCAACTCCATTTTAGAGGAGGAAGTTGAAGCTTAGAGAAGTTAAAAATTGCCCAAGATCATGAAGCTTGTAGATTGCAGAGGCAGATTCATGTGGCCCAAGTCTATTTCTTCATTATAGTAAATGAATTAGAAAATAATGATTCAACCT